ACCATTGTGCCGACCTGTGATTCTGCTGCCTGTGGATAGTGCTCCTCCCTTCCTGGAACTTAAAAACTCACGCCATCCATGCATTACAAAAACCTTCTTTGGGGATGATTTTATTCCTAATGACATCGTGATAGGCAGCAGTGATGAAGACAGCAGTAGTGAAGCTTCCTGTGTGTTAGTGACTGGCCCCAATATGGGTGGCAAATCTACCCTAATGAGACAGGTGATTGATTGACTGTCCGTGTAAGATTGAGTGCTCCAGGGCACCTCTGGGTTTGCATGTGGGAATTACATGGCCTGGATGCTTGTAGATGTCAAAGAGGGTCCCAGCAGTGGTCTTCAGGGTGTGCAGCACAGTACAGCAATTGCACTGTAAAGACAAAATGCAATCTGGTAGAAAAGACAGATTTTCTACTTTCACTTACTTTAGGGAGGAGGAAGTTTTATCACTCCTATGAGAGATGGTTGGGGAAAAAGTATCTTTTCTTTTTCAAGTGGCTAATCCAGGACTTGGCATCATCTGGCAAAGGATGCTTCTGCAGGTTGAACAAGATGAAACTAGAGATCAGTAGCAACTGGGAGGGCAACAGGGAGTTTCCTTTACAAACACTGCTTGCTGTGATAACTTGTGTTTTGAAGGCTTTTTGGAGTAGTTTAGTCCTGCTTGAGATGACGTCGCAGCCCGGAGCTGTTAAAACAGTGGGAAGCTTTCTGTAGTCTAGCCTTTGTTTTGGGGGAAACATGGTTTCGTGCCCTCGTTGTCTGTGTGGAACCGAAGCTCCAAGCACATAGCAAAGTGTCTGTGTGTCCCTGTTTGTTCCCCAGGCTGGTCTGCTGGTTATCATGGCTCAGCTGGGGTGCTACGTGCCCGCGGAAGCCTGCAGGCTCACACCAATCGACAGAGTGTTCACGCGGCTCGGAGCCTCCGACAGGATTATGTCAGGTGAGTTCCTGAAATCCAACTCTCCAAAGTCCTTTGCCACCCAGTTGCTTCTCCTGCTTTGAGTGGCAGATTGGAAAGGGACAGTATGTTGATTTTGCAGGGAGGGCTGTGATCTGTTGTGTCTCTTTGTTCAGAGTGGAAACAGGATTGTAGTTACGCTTTATTTCTTGCACGTGCTTGCCCTCCATTTTTTGACAGGCATATAGGATTACATTTTAATAAATTTTAATATTAAAAGCCTGGATGCAAGTCTGAGGAACATATTTTTGGCTGTTGTACAGTTGATTGTGTTCTGCTTACATTGGTATCTTTTTCTAAGTGTTCTGGAATAGGACAGTGCTGTTTGGGCAGCTGTTGTACAGTGCACAGGAGTTGTTTTTATATCTTCTTGCAAGGACAAGAAGTCCCTTGTTTTAATCAGAATGCCTTAAGTCTAAAATGTGATTTTTTTCAGACACGGAATAGAGGCTGGCTTCCTTCTTGGAAGTAGTAGTTGACAATTACTGGAATATTTTGTTTCTTTAATGGAGGGGAGAACACAAGTGCAGGATGACACCACAACTGGAACTGGAAGGTTTGCCTCTGGTGGTGGGCAAAGTGTCATGAGGCTAGAAAAACAACATTATTGTTGTGGGGAGGAGCAGTATCACAGCTCAGTTAAGGAGGGCACAGATTTGCTGTGATCTCTCTGCTGAAAAATGTGGGTCAGTGACTATGAAAGGAGTTAAGCCTACTGAACTTGTTGCACATAAGGAATTTGGAAATGAATCATTCCAAATTCTTAATTAAAAAAAAATATTTACACTTCCCCAAATCAAGGCTTTTCTTTGCAGCTAGAGAGTGTTATTAAGGCTTTCTTTGCCCACCTAGTTTCCATTTTGTTTAATTTCAGTACAAAAAGTGCTTATAGTAGAAATAAAAACTGCCCTTCCTGTGTGAGAGGTGGTCTAGCAAAATGTAGCATTTTCAGCTTTTTTCTATCAATTGGGAACTATTCTCTTCCAAATGTCTGCACAAGTGTTTTAATGCTGCACAGAAACAGCTTTTGAAATCTGGTTTTGGTGTATTAGTTTCCCCACTGTGTAGATAGGAGAGCACAGCAGAAGCTGTTCCATGGCAGTCACTTTGTAACACATGTCAACACGACTTCTATGAAGTAGATTTTTAAAGTAAAACAATTTTAAAATCACCTGTGCAATTTTAGGGATTTATTTTCTGAAGTGAATAAAGGTTTATTCTTAAGCATTGATAAAAATACAGTCTTGGAAATTTCCTTTACAATATGCAGAAAATCAGGATTGGTGGACACTGCTTAATAGTTCATGTTGAAAGACTTATGTTAGAGCAAAGCAGTGCTCATGCAGCATGAGCATACACAAAGTAAGTGTCTTTAATAGATGTCATTAATTGCTGCTGCTTCAGGTTATTTGTAATGAACCCTACACTAATTGTGTATTTGTGCTTGTGATCTGCTAAACCCAATTTCAGGTCTAAATTTCAGGCTTTGTGTTATCTGGGTTGTTGAACATAGTGAGATGTTCAAGCCTCAGCAGCAATGTACTGCTTTTGTCCCATCTCACTCAAGTAGAGTGTAGACAAATAAAGCCTTTGTTATACAAATTGTTATCTTATGCCATCACAACCAAACCAGTAATTCCAGTCTTTTTTAACATTCTTCTGCTTGCTCTTTCAGTGAAAAACCACCCCACCCCTCCCCCCCTTAGGCCTAGACTCTTGTGTTTAAGAGCTAAAAGGCACAAAGGATTCTCCCCATCTCACATCCTCTGTGCTCCTCCTTTTGTCCAGCTGGTATAAAAGGTATATGGTGGCTTAGAACTTAATTATACTTGTGCCCATGCCTGTACTCTTAAGGAACCAAACCAGTTTGCTTTTTCCGTCAAATAGAAGCTCACCATTTTCAGGCTGGAATAAAAAGCTTTATGTTTTTGTTCATCTGCAGTTTGCTGTCAAGTTTCACTTCATTTTAACCAAGATTCTAGTGCAGATTACATGGGATTGTGGTTTTCAAATCTTTGACTGGTTCATGGCTTTTTATTTTTTTTTCTCTTAAGGAACCAAACCAGTTTGCTTTTTCCGTCAAATAGAAGCTCACCATTTTCAGGCTGGAATAAAAAGCTTTATGTTTTTGTTCATCTGCAGTTTGCTGTCAAGTTTCACTTCATTTTAACCAAGATTCTAGTGCAGATTACATGGGATTGTGGTTTTCAAATCTTTGACTGGTTCATGGCTTTTTATTTTTTTTTATGTCAATTTTAACCAAGATTCTAGTGCAGATTACATGGGATTGTGGTTTTCAAATCTTTGACTGGTTCATGGCTTTTTTTTTTTTCCCCTCATGTCATTTCCTTTAAAGGTGAAAGTACCTTCTTCGTTGAATTGAGTGAGACTTCCAGCATTCTCCAGCATGCAACAGAGCACTCCCTCGTTCTCATGGATGAACTGGGTAATTAGACTATGTCATAGTGGATGGAAACTAAATCTTAAAGACTGGCTGTAAGGTTCTTGGGCTGTCTGGATGGCAACCAAGCACCCAGGGGCAGTTTTATCCTAACACTTGTCATGTTGAACAGATCAGTGTCTAATTCCCTCTAAAACATGTACTTCTTGGTGCCTTGGGGCACTTGCATACCACCCCCTCCCATCCCCCTGTTGTTATTGCCCTATTTCCAGCTGTGGTTTCCTGCTTTCCTTTACATAATTACTTGCAGCAAACCTTAGCAGAATGTTTTTCTGCAGTGCAGAAGAGTTAGTTACAGGGCAAATACACAGGTCACTTCCCACTGATACTGGCAGCTCTCACCCCTCACTACTGTTTGTCATCTTCCACACAGCACAGAGGGAGAAAAACAGTCTTTAGAAAAGCATTTCTACTTCTCTTTCTTCACCTCAACAATTAAGAGTGGGTGTCTCTTGTAGCACTATGGATTATTTTCCCCTGCTGGTTTTGTTCCTGGGTATGTCAGAGCTCTCCCATTTTCTCTCCAGGCAGAGGCACAGCCACTTTTGATGGCACAGCCATAGCGAGTGCAGTTGTGAAGGAGCTGGCAGAGAAGATCTGCTGTCGGACACTGTTCTCCACACACTACCACTCCCTGGTGGAGGACTATTCCCACAACAGAGCTGTGCGGCTTGGGCACATGGTATGTGTAAGGGCAGCACAAGCTGTGAGTGCTGAAGGACAGGGCTGTTACTTGTGGCCAGCACAGCCCATGCTGTGCATGCTTTGCTCTGCTCTCCTGCCAGAGCCACAGGTGTATTTTGAGTCTGTATGTCAGTATTACAAACACACTGACTCCTACCTCGTTCTTCCTAGGCATGCATGGTTGAGAATGAGAGTGAAGATCCGAGCCAGGAAACAATTACGTTCCTGTACAAGTTCATTGAAGGAGCATGCCCAAAGAGCTATGGCTTCAATGCAGCGAGACTTGCAGATATTCCAGAAGAAGTTATTCAGAAGGGACACAGAAAAGCAAAAGAGTTTGAAAAAACAACCCTTTCACTGAGAGTATTTAGGTAAGGCCTTGGGTTTACATATGGAAGTTGCACATTGCTTAGTGGACACCCGTGTTAAAATCTGGGCAGTGGCTTTTGCTCAGTGTCACAGCAGTGGGGGCAGTTGCAACTACTTTTGTGAATATCAACTGTACTTCCCAGGGAGGGGGAGGGGGACTACAGCACGCAGATAAGAGGAGCAATGAAGCATTTAAAGCCTTGGATCCACTGTGCCAGTCTTAATTTGCACAGAGGTGCTGGAGGGACCTTACAGCAGCACCAGAGCCTCTGCTGCTGGCAGCCTTTATACCAGGCTACATCTGTGGCTCCTAAAGCTGTGTCAGGCCTGGGAAGTTTAAGCTCTGCCCCTCTGTGTCCATCCATGCTCAGCAAAGGTGGTTATCTCCCCCAGGTACCTGTGCCAGGTGGTGGATGGTGCAACACGTGATGCAAATGCTGTGCAGAAACTGAGGGCGATGATCACCCATCTGTGAGAGCACGCGGGGTGGCACGGACAGGCTTGCAAGAAGGTGGTATCAGACACTGTTATGATCTAATAAACTTTATTTTTTAAAAATGACCATTTTTCCATTGTCTTTCCTAGGAAATTAAACCCTTTAATTCTTACCTACCCTCTACATAATGGTTATTGAGTACTCCACAATATATTAAGTCTAGATGTTATGGTACATGCATACACTTTCAGGCTGTTGATTACCCACTGTCACCAATACACATAAATGGAAAAAAGCTATGAAACTGTATAGGGCTGTATATATACTTGTCTCAGCTTCGTTAGAGCAGGAAATTGCTGTGATTTCCAGCAGGTTACGTAAGTAATGTCCAGACTGTTCAAAAAAAACTATGAACAGAGTAAAGTACAAGACTGTTTTGAGGAGACTTTCTACTGTGTACTTTAAACCATAGTAAAATTTCTTTCACAAAACTTAGTTACATGGGTACTTTGTTTTATAGTGCATTATAGTCTAGGAAGTCTCATTAAAACACTCGCTTTCCTTTTTTTGTTAGGGTGGTTTGAGTACAGACTATTGCTGGGGCAGGGAAGGAGATTATTCTAACTTCAGAGGACACCAGAAAAATTGCTGGATATAATTTAAGATTAGTGTTTTCTCTTTCATAGAAAGAACGTACATACTGGGACATGAGTACAGTTACAGCAAGTCTAGGTGTACTAACAAAACAGGACACATTCAAGTACAATAAGATTTTTTTGCTTGAAATTAGAAACAAACTACATGAGATTAAAGCATTAAATCATATTTCTCAATCTGAATAAATGTTAAAAAAATCAAAAGAAATGCAGAAGTGCTAGCTCACATTTTTACCATGTTACAAAAGCAATTGGTACCCATGTCCATAAAGGCAGCAACAAAGAATGCTGCTTGTCTACAGAATAGTACTACTGCAAATTGGACTGCGTTTCAATGCTACTTGTAAAAACACCAGCTCTCAGAAGTTGGTATCTGTACAAAATTGCAGCTTATTTTTCTTCACTTCTGTCCCTTCAAAGTCTTTGTTTACACAGTAATGCTAAAACGCCCAGTTCTGTTATCCTGAGTCAACATATTGCCACTTTCTTTTTTGGTAGGTTGAGCTCCATAGTGTCAACACCTCACACATCCGCTTTAATACAGTCTCTTTCTGCAGAAATGGGCAAGTGTAACTTCCTCCAAAAAAAAAGTTTTAATAGTTATGATATTAGAATGGCAGGACTTGCTTTCTGAAAGGAATTCAGTTGTGCTGCAATGTATTAGATTCTATAGGTGGAGCAGAGTCATATAGTGTATCTGTATCGTGTGTAGGCTCTCCGGCAAGCGTACAGGGATTGGACAGTGTTCCAGCACCACAGTCACAGAAAAACCTACAAACAGGAGAGAGCTCTTTAGTGTCTGCTTTGCTCATACTGCCACAAAGCACTCCCACACCCTGGTTTGGAACATACCTATCATGTCTAATGAATTCTACATCATGTCCTTGATGGCACTTCTTAATGCAGTTCACACAGATGGCGTTACGGTCTGTGGTGTTGCAGGTGTGACATCTGAAGGGAAAAGCAGCAAGTTAGGCATGAACCAAAAACTGATCAGCTCTCAAGTGCTCCAGAAAGGTGGAGGGGCAGAACACACCAAACAACAGGGGTGCACAGGACTGTGAAGCTTGAGAGTTTTACACAAACTCCTATTTCACAGCACACATTGTTGCTTGTGTCATCCCTTGGGCTCAGGTTCACAGAAACAACGTGCTTTCCTCAAGCCCACAGTAAATTCCAGACAATGGGAACTTGTCTAATCCTCTTTTGCTGGAGCTGAGGAAGAACACACATTTGTGTGTTCAAAAGACATGCAGCAGCTGTTCTAGGGGCCTTGCTGAAAGAGAGGTTGTGTTTATCTGAAAACCTTACTATAGGTGATGGCAAAAAATGTTTACCTGTAGAAGTCATGCATTGGGTAGCTGGTGTAGCTTGAGATCTTATACAAACACTGGCCTCTACTGACAGCTTTCTCTATGGCATCTTGATTGTTCATTATTTTGTTATCTGTTGGGGGAGGAAAAAAATAATCCAGAAGTAAACACACCTGGGTCAATGACTTTTTTTCCCCTCGAGGTGTTGAAGCAGAGGGGCCATCAAGGAACGGTTAGTTCTAATGCCTGTACATTAGTTATGGCATTCACACATCTCAAATTCTCCCTGCCAGCTCACAGGGCAGATGCCCAGAGTGCTGTGCACTCCTCAGGTGAGAAACACTGTTCCTCTTTGCACACACTGCATAAAATACCTAAGAGCCTTTACTTAAATACTCTTTGTGAACTGGGTTGTCAATAAATGGTTACAGACACAAGCCTTTCTAGCAGGCCTAGGTTTTCTGCTGATGAGCCTGAAACCCAAAGTTTGAAAGCCTTTCATCTACCATAAGAAGAAAAGGATGGCTCCTTCTCCAGGGGAGTTTAGGAATAAGGCACTTTCCAACACGATGGAAAGTGGAAATTGGGTCTGACCAGCTCCAGCACTTAAAAGATGTGTCCAAGGCACATTTGAAATTCCCTCTGTTACTCGGCTACTAGATCTATCAAGTCCTAAAGTGCATCTCAAGAAACAGTATTTTTGCCCACTCCAAGTAGTGTCACAGCACCGACTGATGCAGTCAGGAAGCCCAGGAGCTGGGAAGCAGGGAGCCAGAGCTTGTATTTTAAGTGGTATAAGGGATCCACAGGAAAAGGCTTAAAAATTACAGCCAAACTTAAAAATTCTGCAAACTGAACCTTCTTCTAGAATAACCTCCTGGAGCTGTCTGGCATTCAATCCCACCTTTTCCAAGAGGATCGTGTCTCATACATGCAGTGTATGAGATAAACTCCTACTATACAGTAGAATTTTATGCATGTGAACTGTTCCTATTTTCTGAAAATTTGATTTGAGATTTAGGATCTAAAAGCATGAATATTCACAAAGTCAAGTAATATGTATTTTTTACTGGACACTAGTTTTCAGATATGTGACAAAAGACTTTCCATGACACTAACTTATATTTGGAGTTTGAGATGGACTGAAGACTAGTAATGAGTTCAGAACTCATTTTAAGACAGAAGAGCTAACAACAGTGTTTTAATATGACAGCAAAACCTTAAGCTACCTTTGAAAGTGTCTGCTTGTCTAAAAGTCTTAGGATAGCTTAACGCTGTGTGTTACCTTCACCTGAAACTCTTAGCCGCAACTCAGCTTAAGGTGGTGCCACAAATGGCACAATAAACACAAGACCTAGCACCAAAAAAAAAAAAATGGCAAGTGAACAAACACAGCCAAGGAGGGCTCAGGCTCACCTTTCATCGTGACATTGACACCAGATGCTAGAAACAAACCTCCAAAGCGGTTGTTGAAGATCTGATTGCCTTCTAATGTTGCAGTTGCATGATTTGTTATTTCGATTCCTTTATTGGGTCAGGGGAACAAAGGAGAGAAAAAAAGGGGGAAGTTAAATCCCTAGTGATTGTGTAGTTGTACCTCTCTCATGATCTATATCTTGTTCATTCTTTTTAAACCATTGTAAACGCAGGGGGGAAAGGGAAATGACATAGCTGGAAATTACACTGTCATTTGTTATAATACTGAGCTTCAAATGCTGCTGCTGAATCCTTTCAAAGAGCTACAGCTGGCATGCACAGCTTCTGGCAGGAACAGCACACTGCCAGTTTATCTGGTAATAAAGCAGTGTCATGACTATGTATATTTTCAAGTGGGATATATCATTTTTGGGTGCTTAAAGCTGTCAGGGTACATTTGAAAGCTCTTGTGCACATACCTTATACCCTTTATAAAACATCTTTTTAAAAATCTCTCAAGATGGGCACCTAAAATTCATTTCTTTAGCCTTTATCAGTAACCTGAGTCTTCCAAGGCATTTGTCCGGGATTGCTGTGGACAGCAACCTATCCTTCCCCCCCACCACACTGAAACAACACCTTTAGAGGCTCTTCTCACAAAACTTGCTTCTTCTGAAAGAAAGATGGGAGAAAACTCAAGAATGCAGTTTTAGTTGGAATGGAATGGAATGCAAGACGTATGAACTGTGATGATTAAACAGTAAATTGAAAAAAAAAGTCACTGTTAAACATTTTTCCTCTCTTTTAGAGTTAGAAATGCTCGTTTTTTATAATTTTTCAAGTCTATGGAGTGAGAAAGTTGAACTTGAGATGCAATTCAAATCTCTTTAAAATGTGTATTTGATCTGCTTCCTAGGTTATAAAGCAGTGATAAAATATTTAAACCAGCATCCAGCAGACCAACTATGAGTATGTCCTAGACAACTTTATCAATTACTTCTAAAATAAAATAATGAAAATTATTTCATGAAAAATTGAGAAGATGTGTCATTTCTCAATGCAACAGCAATTCCAGAGACTGCTGTTAATATATTCTGGCTACAGTTCTGAATTCTCAAATTATTTCTGGAGTACACTGAAGGATATCCCAGTCTCTGTCAAAATGTGGGGTAAAGGAACTCAGAGTTAGTTTTGTGAAGAGCTTACTCCAAGCTCTAACACTTCGAAATTTGATTTAAACAACACAAACCTGCAGCAAAGCCATCGAATATCCGGTTTTTCCTTAGCACAGGGTGGCTGTTGGTGCTGATAAGAACACCAGCTTGAGCATTCCTGAAGATATCATTCTCTTCCAGAAGACCTATGACAGACCAACAGACATGACACTTGAGCTTGGTAACATTTCCTGACCTTTAACCATTCTGTGAAATATTTTCAAAAGATCTCACGTGTCATCATCCTGCTAATCATTCCTTTCATTTGGAGAATACCCTCTGAAGTCAGTGGTACAAGTTTAAAGTAATTCACAGTGTATAATCTTCTAAGTGTATTTTTTCGGTACACAGGAGAGAACTTGGGATTTAAGTGTCATTACAGAAAACTGAATCTTTTCCCTTTCCAAATTTTTCTTCAACTTTTCTAACACCTTTCTGTTATACTCTAAAATAAGCAGCCTGCCAAAACCAAGCTTGACTTGCATTTCTTTTGTTACTGCAAGACAGGATTACTTTAAAACACTAAACTTAAAATTAAAGCTCATTTACAGCAAGTGATTATCTACAAAATACTAGAAGCTGGTATGAGGACATAGAACAGTCAGGGGATTTCAGAGAGGAACAACATCTAAATTTACAGATATGCAAGAGATTCCATAAAGATCTGTCTCCTCCTCCCTGCCAAATCCTGGACACTGACAGAACCTGAACTGTTCAGGTACATGACTCTGTCTACATGACTTGAATTCAATACTGTGTTTCAGTCAAATGGCAAAGCTTACAAAAGCAGATTGGATGAAAGGACTGTTCTGAGCAGCAATCTAACAGTCGTCTTGGATGAGATTAATTACCTCTCCGCCTCCCACAGATTTCAGTATTACTGATGTAATTAAGGCTAAAAAGCATCAGTGTGTGTCTGTTGTAACTATTTTATTACTTCAGAAGACAAGAGCTATGTTTCTAAAGAGTACTTTAAAAAGGACACTGCTTAATCTGAAATTAAACTCCTATCCACAATATTCAGTATATGCCAGTAAGGGAAAAAACCTACCTCTGCCCCCATTAAATATACAGATGCCTCCATCTCTTCCATCATGGATTTTATTTCTTCTTAGTGTAGGATTACTGTCTGTTTTAATCCATACACCAGCCATTGCATTATCAAAAATTTCATTGTCCTCTATAAATCCAAGCCCTAAAATTGAAGGAAGGGTGGGAAAAAAAGATCAGAAAGGTTAATAAATGAGGAAAAGTAACATTGTAGAACACAATTCTGGATAAACAAGAAAAATAAACCTACCAGAATTATAGACAAGAATACCACCATTCTGACCACCCCAGATCTTGTTGCGTCTGATTTTAGGGTTGCTTCCAGTTCTAGAGTGAAATGTAAGCAAAGAAGTCATTTAAAACAGTTTATCCCAAAGCCAAATGTTTAAAATGCCTCTAAAGAAGTGCCCCATAGATGCCACTGCTTAAAAATTTAGTAAAACAAGTCTTTCCAAACATGCAAACATATTTTAGCTTTACTGACTTCAAGGTCCTCATGTCCTAGTCAATATCTAGGCTGTATTAGTCATAACTCTCTTGTAGGTTGAAGCAGAGAGCATTCAGACATACTGGATTTAGAAAAAAGTTATTTTTAGAGACAAAATGACAAAGCAGTTAAAAAGACACAAGGGAACACAACACAAGCTACGTCTATATTGGCATAAATCAGAATAAACGTTACCTTATCTGAACCCCTGAGTACATGTGATTATAGATGTCATTGTCTTCTAACACGCCATGGCCATTGTCATAAAAATAAACTCCAACCTAACATAGCAAGAATTAAATTATTAGTTCCAAAGTAATGAGGTATAAAACCACAGGACTTTCTTTTCTGTGGTTCCAAGGGGGCCACAGAGCAAAACTCACTTGTTTCCCACTGTGTATTCTGTTTCTCCGTAAGACTGGAGTGCTCCCTGTTGTCACCCAGACTCCAGCCAAAGTATTGCTGTAAACTTCGTTCTCCTCAATCACACCTTGTCCTTTTTCATGCTAAACACAAGATTTAAGAGTTGAGAAAAACTGGTAATTGCCAATACTACCTTTCCTGCTGCACCCATCCCTCCCCAACAAGGCCTCTTTACTGTAGCAGAGTAAATCCTTTCCACTTGAGTATGTATTTTTATCTTTTTTTAAATAACAGCATGTCCGGCTTTTGCCATGAAACAAAGAACACCCTGGCAGGTAAATCATTGTACTTGAAGGCTCTGTAGTGGTATTTACAAGTCTCTGCTGGTTGTTGGTGCCACACACTCAGATGAAAGCTGTGGCACATGGCTCTTAAACCCACACCCAGCCCTGTCCACCAGCTGGACAGAAACACTGGCACATCTCTGAGAAGGTAACTATCTCCACCATGTGTTTGGGCTCACAAGTAAAGCACCAGGATTCTCAGTCAGGGGAAGCTGTTCTAGTTAGATTTACACAGTGCAGGGATGAAGATGCACACCTGCTGCATTAGCTGAACCTCAGGTATCTTTTGGCAGAAAGATACACAAATATTTCTCAAAATCTGGTATTTCCTATGGGAACCTGACAGCTCTTTAAGTTCAGTTAGCAGAGCCCTTGCACACATTGGAAATTATGCTTTATTCCTCACTTTTATAACCCATACAGCAATTGCAATTTATATCATCCTGAAGGTATTACAAAAAATCTTCTCTGAGGTTAGTAGTAAACACATTACACTCCAAAAAAAGCTGAACAGATTTTTTATATAGATATATATATAATGACAAACTACTATGAAAACTAAGCCTTCAAAAAGCTTTTAAGCAAGAAATGATGAAATTCTGCAATCTACCCCATTTTAAATATTTTACTCTGTAATAGGAATAATTTAGTGACATTCATAAAAGCCTTCATCTTTTAAATATCAGCACCAGCTTCAGTCATAACTAGTTCAAAACGTAAGAAACTCCATCACTGTAAGCACAAACATTTGAGCACTCTTTTCCAATGTTTAAAAAAGAGAAAACCAGTTGTATGCCTGTCTGCAGGTTGTACTTACTACATAAATTCCACCATGCTGACCATCATGAATCTTGTTGTGTCGAACTATGGGACAGCTGTTTGTTCGAATCTGTATTCCTGCTAATGCATTACCTGTGCAGGAAAACATCATTTAATACAACTTACAGACTTTTTTTTTTTCTTGCAATTCAAGATGCTACAAGCAAATCAGCTTACCATAAATGTCATTTCCTTCAATAAGGCCTCTTCCATCACCAAAGATATACACACCACCTTGATTCCCATTAAAAATTGCATTGCCCCTAAGAAACAAAAAAAATCCACATTATGAAGTGATTCTAATACCCTGCACAATACTGCACATGTATGTAGTGCCTAGGACTGTACACTATTCAGATTTAAAATAAAGACTTTATGTTCTGTTGCTTTGAGAAAAACCTACCTCCAACTGTACACACAAATTAAAAATGCAGTTCAACTGAATGAAGACAGAAACTTCATTTTGACAAATACAGGCGTATTTACAGTTCACTGTGATTAAATGAAATTAAAGTGCACTTCTCCCATCCCCATCAAATCTCTACTTCTTCTAAGTAGTAAAATATCCATGAGGAAAACAATACCTTATTGTTGGGTCACTGTTTGAGGTAATCCAAACACCTGCAAAATTGTTTGCATAGATTTTGTTCTCTATGAATTGTCCTCTTCCTTTTTCATGCACATAGATTCCTCCAGTCTGGCCGTGATGGATTTCACACCTCACTACCGTTGGGTTGGCATATGCTTTCACTTCAAAGCCTGCTATCCTGTTTCTATGGATGTTGCAGCTTTCAAAATAACCCTTTAAGACACAAAACATACGCCTTCCTGTAAAAGTCCTTTTTAAAACGATCTTTATTCCCTCCTCTCTAAATACAATCCTCATTTAAAAGGAAACAGTACCAAAATTGACAACATGTAAGCACTGAGATAGCTAATTAAAACAACTACAGCCAATATATAATTTCATTTTTCCCGAAGTAAAATACTGTTTCAAAGACACTGCGTTCTGGCTGCTATTTATTACTACCCATGGAATACCAAGACAAAATGCCAACTCTGGATATAGCACCTTGAATACGACTGAGTATCAGGTTGCCTTCACAACTCCTAAGGATCAGACTCCTCTGAAAGGCCACAAAGTCCACAGACCCAACAGGAAAAGGACAGTGCTATGGAGAAGACTACCAACTTGTTCTCATACCATGAGCTATATGTATTTGGTAAAAATATGGTTTCTCTAGGAAGAAGTGTGCTAAATTTCTTTGAAATAACTGGCTGAAATAAATAAATATTAATCATAGAATGTTAAGGGGTTGGAATAGACCTCCTAGATCATCTAGTCCCAACCCTTCTGCCATGGGCAAGGACACCTCCCTCTAGATCAGGTTGCTCAAGGCTTTAAGCTCTGCCAGGTTTGGGGCATCTACAACCTCCCTGAGCAACCTGTTCCAGTGTCTTACTACTCTCTCAGTAAAAAATATCTTCCCAATAGCTAATCTAAATTTTCCCTCTTTCAATTCATACCCACTCTTCTTGAAATCTCTTGCATCTCCAGTCGGAGATGGTGACAATCACCAAGTGATTTAATTTATGGATGGCTTAGATGCAAACTCTTGAAAGGTCTAATCCAGGCTACATCCACCAAGCAGCTTGCAGAGGACAAGACTAAAAACAGAGCACCTGATATTCAGAGCAGTGGTGACCCAATAAGAAAGGGGCACAACTTTGTCACCCCAGAGCCACCTCATCCAAACACCATTTTTCCTGTAGCTACCTAAGTTAGTTATTTAGTCTCACTGAACATGAGAGTTGTTATACTTGTGAACTACCAAAAAAACCCCACAATTCCTGCTATTGCTCAGCGTAACTGGATTCCAGTGTTCGCACTCACATGATCTACTACCAGGAACACCTCAGGCCTGGAGCTTCTGCTACCTATCATGTGGAAATTGCTCAAGTTACTGACAACCTAGGTAGAAAGCACTGTGTTTCACTGCTGTATTCCTTACATGCTGTGAATTGCTAAGGGATTCCCATCAATCATATTTTGATTACAAAAAAGCAGAAATGCATCCAGTTCAACAAGAAAATCAAGACAGCATGCACTTCTTCCTACTCTGGGGATTTCAGTCAGGAAAGGCACTGCATGGATTGAACGTTCTCCCAAAAAAGTACTATCTATGTGCAAAGCTTGGCTCGCCAGGCTCCTCTGTCTGACAAATCAACAGTCAAATGGAAAAACCCTACTTTCTCTAAATATTCAGAATACATAATTTTCAAGGATTTAGGATTAGATTTCTTCAGAGTGAGTCAAGATGTTTTCAGGGTTCTCAAGGAAGTTATATATAGGGAAATCTAAGGATCTCCTCAGAAATATGCCTTCATGTCAACAGGTAGTCTCTCATGACTTCTTATCCCACAAGGAACCACTTTTCTTCCTCATCTGCACTTCTTATGGGGCCTTCAAAGAAACTTAAGATGACAATTTGGTATAAAGTCAAGTCTTCATAGAATATGTAATTTCAATTAAAATATTACTAAACATGGTCTGGTATCTAAATTACTTCTCACATTATCCTCCCTTTGAGCACCAAATATGTTGCAACTACAGCACTATGATGAAAGAGGTATCACAGGTGCACTTCATTACAGCCATTTTGTATGCCATGTAGAAGCTGCAAAAAGCCTTTATCATGTGGCCTGTGGTATCTTTGTGAGCTGCAGCAAGCACTATTATGCAACAATCAGGAAATTTTGGTGCAAGTATTTTAATTCTTGAAATCAATGTCATTTAATTCTTGAAACCACGCAGCTTTTCAACTTGCTTGGTAAATAAGTGATAGAGAAGGCTCCTTCACTCCTGCGTGTGTCCCAGTCCATCTACATAATACACAACTTCAGGAAGGAACAGAAGAGGTACCTGTACATTAATTGTGCTCTACCCTCTATATCCTAAGAATGCCATAACATCACTTGACAGCAGAGTACAAGTGTCACAGCTTCAAAAGCAGAAAATGAAGCCTTCAAAATGACTGCTCTTCTACCTTCTTGAAAACATGTAGCATTGCTGATTCAGAAGAAACAGAGGATTTGCTGCAAGTCTCCTCCAAAACAGGGGAATAAAATAAATCTGTATCTCGGATTGCTTTATAAGGCTGAGCACTGGGTCAGAAAGTCAAAGCTTTGTGCTAGTTAAGATCCTGTCACATTCAACATGCATAAAGAGAAACTGCATTAAAGAGCCCAGTCCACCTCAGTCACAGTCAGCTTAAGCTGAACTGCTGGTTTTGACCTGATGCAGGTAAAACTCAGTTGATTTCTGCATGTGTTGAGACCAAGTGTAGACCATCACCTGTGTGGGTCATTAGTAAACTCAATTCAGTTACACCAACAGAATTGCTGCTTGTCAGAAACATGCTCTTCCACAGTCCTGAGCAACCACCTCATTCCCAGGCTTCCAAATTATTTCCTATGCCATTGATACAAACACTTTCTTTGGCCCAAATTGGGTTGCCAGGCATTGGAAGGTGCTGCACAGGGAGGGAGTGGAGTCAGTATTCCTGAGGGAGTTCAAACAACGACTGGACATGGCACTTAGCGCCATGGTCTAGTTGACAAGGTGGTGATTGGTCAAAAGTTGGGCTTGATGATCCCAGAGGTCTTTTCCAACCTAAATGATTATGTGATTCTGTGAAATTCATCTCCTAGGGAAGGTTATCTTCAGTCTTTAAGATGCTACCTGGCAATCCCTGGTATCTTTTCAGCCACCGCAGCCAATCCCCTTCAAAAGGCACTGCTGTCCCTTTGAATCACAGCCTCTCAAAGATGCCACCCCTTGTACTTGTTGACTTCTTAAAAGGTGATGAACTTCTGGATCCCAAGAAATGACATATGGGCTCAGATAACATTCTCTCCTTGGAAAGCTAACAAATATTTTCCAACAATGAAATTGTGTTTCCAAGTATGGGGTTAAATGATCTATTATCTACTAACTCTGCTGACCCAAAGTCTACTGCCAGCTCCAGCTATAACCAGGTACCACCATTAGACAGTCTGTTCCTTTCCTGCCACTTCTGCCTAACAGCACACACAGGCTGCCCAACCCACAGCACTTAAGTTCCATCCTGCTATCAGGCAGCTCAGGCCCAGATCCTTTATGGAGACCCTGCCAGGCAGCTATTAAGGTCAGGAAGGTCAATACCCCGCATCTGCATAGAGGGATTGCAAGCCTTATATTGCCTCCACCTCCTTCAAAGACAGATTTTCAAATGTGCTGGATATTTAGCTTGTGCTCTGTGGTGGTTTCTGGTTGTAATTCACCCACTAGCCGAAGAACAACCTGGAAGACACAGTACCTGGCAACGCCAGGATAGCTTAATAGGAAAAAGAGGCCCCTTGCACATGGAAAAAGTATTACAATCTTAGACAAAATACCAAGTATTACTCAAAATACAGTAGCTTTCTGCTTGAAAAACCCTAAATATTAAAAAGTAGCTCTGTACCTCAGATTTATTTAAAATACCAGGCAAAGCATTAGCTGTGGGCACAAGATGACAGCTACAGTGACAGAAAGTGTGGGCAAGAACACAGTGCTGCAGCCTGTTCAGATCTGAGCAGGGAAAATAATCACAAACAGACAAACACCACATTAATGATAACGCTGATGCTCCCACACAAGACACAGTGTACAGTAAAGAGATGTGATGACAAAGATGTGTTCCTGCACAGCTGGACAAGCTCAAAAGAATTTTTACATCAAGACTAACTCTCTGTAATTGAACTTGGATTTTTTTTTCTTTCTGCATGTTGTCTAGTCTAACAAACACTGCTTTGAAATGAATTAGGGTTAAAACTTGTAACTGATGGGATTTTGTTCATTGCTTTTCTTCTCAGAGGAACTTTTTCCCCATCTATTTCTAAAAGGGCTTTATATTCTGTCTCAAAGATTACAACACTACAGAAACACTGAAGTATTTCATGTTATTGTTTGAACAACACAGGTATGCAAAAAAAGGAAAAAAGAGATAATTGTTCAAGCTTTAACACTTCCTAAATATTTCTTGACACTGGTATTCCCAACAGGGTAAGGGAAAAAAGTAAACCAAAAACAAGAACAGGAGACCAAGATAGAAAAAAATTAACTGCTTCAGAGTATCTGACTCTGTGTCAATTTAATTAAACTGCAATTAGAAATGTGACTAACAACACAAAAAGCATGTTTATAAAAATCTGCCTCTCAAAGCCTGGAATGGTCTTCATTTGAGAGCTGGTGCATTTTATAAAAATCCAAATGCAACATAAAGAAAATCACATCCAAGACGCAAAACAAACCCTCTATTTTTAGTGCACAGCAAAAGGCCAATTGAGTTTTTACGCAGTCTGTATAGAAACTGGCATACACTTACATTCTTTTCCTTGGACTTCATAAACACACTTCTTTAAAATTATCTGATCTGCAGCATTTAAAAGACTGAGTTGTAAACTAGTCACAATCAACGAACTTAGATGTTGCTATACTTCTATTTCAACAGGAAAAAAAAACCAAAACCCAAGCAATAATGTTCTGTTTCTCCTTTGGGTGCAATGAAAAATGATGACTATTATGACTAGATCTCAGCTTTAAACTATAAAATTATGCTTATTCTTACAGTAAGGTGGAACTGCTCTGCTGTTTGCATACAACTACTAAATACCGTTCATGACAAATATCTGGTAACTTGTCTCAGGCAACTAAGTGGCAGGAGAGGTCGGGGTAATGTGCTGAGAGCTGCCAATGCCATGCTGCATTTTTAATGCTGCTTGTTAAACATTTGACACAGCACTAAGGCAAATACCAGAATATTGCCAGTTTAGAAATAAGAGGTTAAGTTTCTACAAGTATCAAAACACAAAGAACAGTCTGAGAACATGAAACTGAAAAACAAAGCACTCTTGAACCTTTCAGAGCCAGCACTCCTGCACAGAAACCCACGGGAAAAGTACGTGTAGGGTAGGAATTCTGCACTGGAATGTACTTATCCCACTTCATGGCCACAAGAAATATAAAAAAATTAATACATCCCTCAAAATAAGGGAAGTGAGAGAAGTGAACACAGAAAATCCATTAACTTGTTTAGGTATGGAGGATTTGTATCTGAAAGACACCACATCACTTAAACAAGTGTGTAAATATTGCTAATGATGTCATTTCATTAACTCTATCTGTAGGCAGGATACAGAACAGAGGATGTTGTCAAAGCAGACTTTGAGATGGGGGAGAAGTACAGAATCTTTCTAAGCAGTTTATGACTAATTAATATTTGCAGCTGAGATAAGTATTATTCACACGCTCTCTTTATTGCGTGTTTCCTTTAAACAAAAGGGAAACGTTTCTTTCTATTCCATTTTGCTTGTGACATCACACTGACCACAGCATTGAAACAGACATTTCCTTGGTGAGAAAACACATCATATACGCTTTTATTTAAAATTAATCAAGTGAATCCAGCCTGGCTTTTTAATTTTTTTTAATACTTCAATACTCATGTATTTTATATTTATACTTCAGAACTTAAACAAGAAGCAGCTCCTAGCCAGATTTGCCAATTAACCCTCAAGCCTACAAAGAGACACCTCTCCTCCAAGAGTTACTGCAGCACTCTGCTTTACCAGATTTTCTATAGCTGAAATCACTTCATATTACATGTTTCCAAGCCTGTTTAAGTCTTGGATGGATGTATGGATGTATGTATCCACTGAAGTGGATTACAGCTACTTATACAGTATGTTAATACACCTTAATACAGTCCAGACAATGAAATATTGTAAAGCAAAGACATAACATCTTAAGTTTGCCACCACTCTTTGCATAACAGCCAAAGAACTACATCTCTAGAGGACAGAAAATGATGTAAAGCAATCCATCAGAAGACTGACAGCAGGGCATTGTTCTGGTCTGCTGTAATCTTGCTCAACACAGAACAGATATGCTCCTTAAGATGTACCTATGAGAGCAGAGAAGAGGCACCTAACAGCAGAACCCCACCATGTTTCAGCTTCCACTCTCAAGAATTTTATGCCAGCAGCAAAAACAGCAGCACTGTGACGTGTTTACCTTCTACTGCAAAACTGCAAACCCAACAGCTACAACTGGCACTGCCTTGATCCTTCACCCTTACCTCCCCAGCAACGTGAGTGCAAAGGAGAAAGGCCTCACTAGTTTGTATCCACAGTGGATTTTCTGTTAATACTATTTCCAGAATACTGATGGCTCAAAAAAACCTCAGCAGACCTGCACCAGAACCTGCTGAGGGTGCACTCGATCTCCCTGTCTATATCACTGATGAACAGTACTGGTCCCAGGACAGACCCCTGAGGGACATGACTTGTCACCTGACATTGAGGGTTTGGTACCTACCCTCTGGATACAACTATCCAGCTAATTCCTTATCCACCAACAGTCTTTCCATTAAATTCACATCTCCCCAATTTAAAGAGAAGGATGTTGTGATGGACTGTGTTGAAGGCTTTATAGAAGTCCAGAGAGATGACAGCTGTAGCCCTTCCCTTGTCCACTGATACAGTCACTCCAACATAAAAGGCCATTAGATTGGTCAGGCAGGACTTGTTGCCTGTCCCAGATCACCTCCCTGTCTTCCACATGCCTTAGCATAGTTTCCAAGAAGATCTGTTCCATGTTCTCCCCAGTCACAGAGGTGAGGCTGTTAGGTCAGGAGTTGCCAGTCCTCCCATCCTACCCTTTATTAAAACTGGGTGCAATGTTTCCCTTTTTTCAGTCACCTGACTGCCAAGACTTTTCAAGTACCATGGAGAATGGTTTGGTAACTACATCAGTCAACTTCCTCAAGACTGGGATGCATCTTGTCAGATAACATAGTCTTAGGTCCTGTTCCTCAGGTGATCACAAACCTGATCTTCTCTTACAGTGGGAGGGATTTTGCTCTCCCAGTCCCTACCCCGTGGCCCATCCACTGAGGAGGTGTGGGAAGAGAGATTGCCAGTGAATACTGAGGCAAAAATCCTTCAGGACCCTCAACCTTCTCATCCACTGTTGCCAGTTTGCCAGACTTGCTCATCAGGTACACTTTCTTTGACATTCCTTTTCTGGCTGACATACCTGTACAACCCATTATAACCACCAAGTTCAGCTCCATCCATGCCCTGGTCTTCCTGACCCCATCCCTACACAACTGGGCAGCATTTCTATGGTCTTCCTAGGTCACCTGTCTCTACTTCTACTGCCCGTGCATTTCCTTCTTGTCCTTTAGTCTGACCAGCAGGTCCCAACTCAGCCATGCTGATCTCTTGCCTTTCTTTCCCCATTTCTTACACCTGGGGATCAAAAGCTCTTGCTCCCTATGGAAAACATTGTCAAATATCTGCCATTTTAAAAGGGATTAGGAGAGAACTCATTTTACCAGCTGGGTGAAGGGAATTGGGGATTTGTGATTCAAGCAGGAAAAACAATGATTTGGCACTGTTTGGAAGACATGCAGAATATTTTCCTAAAACAAAGCAGCATATAATAATCTTTTATTTCAGCAGCAAAAATCCACACTGTTTATTTCAAGGACTGTAAAACTCACTACTCACTACTTTACATGTACTTGGAAATTATCACCTTCACCTCACACAAACATACATTTTCATTCAGGCCTGAATGCTGATATGAAATCCTGTGTTAAAATTCTACAAACATACATTTTCATTCAGGCCTGAGTTCTGATACGAAATCCTGTGTTAAAATTCCATACTATCAAAGTCCTCTTCCTAGAGAGGCTGGACACACCCTATTTCAAAGTTTTAACATTAAAATAAAGCTATGTCTCCACAGAACATTTTTTAATACCTGACACACCCTATTTCAAAGTTTTAACATCAAAATAAAGCTACGTCTCCACAGAACATTTTTTAATACCATCCAGCACCTTATTTTTTGTTCCATTTCAAATGAAAAAGAATGAAGCATAAATGTAAGCCTACCATTTACATCCTATTTCAAGAGGTATTTTGTCACTGCAACGTAATTCAGTGTAACAGGCTGCCAATCAACTGCAGATTTCAAGAGGTATTTTGTCACTGCAACATAATTCAATGTAACAGGCTGCCAATCAACTGCAAAAAGCTTGCTTAAACCTCTTTCAGCTAAAATTAAGTGAAGTTTCCTACTGAAGGGCAAGAGAACAACAGTAGGCATATTTTACAACAGCTGTTCATAAGTAAACAGATGTTTTTTCAAACATTTCCTCAATGACACGCAAAATGCGAAGATTTCAGTGACAAAACATCTGTATTTCTTTCTTCAGAAGAAAATATATACGTTACCATGCCATGGTCGAAAGTGAAAACACCAACATCACGTCCATGGTGAATGTGATTCCGTCTGATAATGGGATTTCCATGGTTTTTAACCCAGATTCCTGCTAACGCATTATTGGAGATCTCATTGTCCTCATATATTCCCTGGGAAATAAGAGTGCAAATTAAGACAGGAATCAAGGGCAGTAAACAATTTTATCAAAGTAAAGAAACTAATACTGAAAATTACCTGTGCATGGTCTGTAATATAAAGTCCAACATTTTCACAGTCGCTGATGTTACAGTGTTTAATAGTAGGACAAGCTCCCTGGCCACTAACACATACTGCAGAGCCAACTGGAAGAAAACAGTACAGTTACCATAGCTTCAAAGCATAGTGTATTTATAAATAGTCTGGCAGTGCTTTCACAAGAAAAGTTAGCGTGAACTGGTATTTAAAAAAGACTCTGCGTGTGCAGTGCCAAAGCATTGCAAAGCCACTGGCAGAAAAACACGAATGTCATCATTTTGCAGATGCAAAAAACCACGGTAGGAGTTGCTTTAAAATCACCCTGCCAAGGTTATGTGGCTGCCAGAACAGACAATAGTTTACATAATAATTCCTTTCACAAGAAAAGTTAGCGTGAACTGGTATTTAAAAAAGACTCTGCGTGTGCAGTGCCAAAGCATTGCAAAGCCACTGGCAGAAAAACACGAATGTCATCATTTTGCAGATGCAAAAAACCACGGTAGGAGTTGCTTTAAAATCACCCTGCCAAGGTTATGTGGCTGCCAGAACAGACAATAGTTTACATAATAATTCTATGAA